TTAGCCAGAATCAGCACAATATGAGTTGTGTGATCATGATTTGTGAAGATATTAACTTTGTTTAGGACTTGCGTCCAGCTGAAGTTGTCAGCCCAGTGCGGAGGATCACCAGATATTAATTTGGATCAGTTGAGCACCATCACCACAGTTAAGATCAGCTCATTCAGTTCTAATTAGAACCTGGCTCCTGAGCCATAAACCTTGTTATAATTCAGTTACATAAACTCCAGTATTCAATACTTGCGTACTTTGTGTGATTTCAGTTAGAATGTGACAATGGAACATCTTTTTACTTAGCACCTCACACTAATATCAGGTGTTTGAGAAAACTAGCCAGGTACAATATAAAATCTCCACTCATACTAATCAAAGTACTCAAAACCATCTCAGACATTTAATGTTTTCAGCTCAAATCTGATAAGTAAATGAGGAATGATAAATAATTTTACAGCTGCTCTTCAGCAAATTGGCTAATTAGACACAAATATGCAGAGTTAGCAGTTACCTTGGTATGCAGGAGCTTGGTTTGCTCGACCTCATTCATTGCAAAAAGAAAACTCATCTCTCTGAAAATATTGTTTCCTCAATAACAGTGCAGCTTTGGAGAGGAAAGAGCCTTACCAATACTGAAATGGAAAATCCAAAAGTTTCCATAAGGCCTTCTCTAGCATCCATGTGATTTTGTTCAAACCCCTTGACAGATGCAGCAAAAAGGGCTGAACATTTTTTTTTCTGGAGAAGGGTCCAGACCCAAAACGTCAGCTTTCCTGCTCCTCTGATGCTGCTTGGCCTGCTGTGTTCATCCAACTCTACACCTTGTTATCTCAGATTCCGGCAGCAGCTGTTCCTACTATCTCTGAACTTACCCCCTTTCCAGTTAACATGTGGTGATGAGCATCAATTCAGCAGCTGTCCAGGGTGACTTTTCTTTTATTTTATATCCAGAAGGGCTCTTACACACAACTGAATCCTTCACCAAATCACTGTGACTTAATTTTTTTCTTTTTAGTTATTAACCATCACCAACAATTGACCCACGCAGCCAATTAGATATTTACACGCCAGACCCACTACAGGCAATGCAAGCCATCAAAGGTGAGGGAGGGGTAGGGGGCTAAGTCAAAATGGAATTGGAGGGAGAGATAAGCACTGTATCACCCGTGGTGCCCACCTCTCTCTAACAGCATCAAGAGCATCAATGGACACCAAGTGCTCCCTTTCCATGCTAAGGAACACCACCAACATTGCTGAAGCTTAGGCTCACCTGGACCATGAGTTTGACATGATGTATGCCCAGGCTCGAATGGAACTGCACAAAGTGGGCAGGCAGTCAATAGAAGTGACCCCCTCCATGGCCCGCTGCCCAAACCAATTAATGTCCAGCCTGGCCAAGCCCAGGAGCAAACCCATAAGGAGATTCTCTAATCTGCCCACACTCCTCCTCATGCCCAAACATCAGGAGTGTGGGGCTGAAGTGCAATCAAAAACACCACAGAAGGATTTTTCAAATAACTGAAAAAGAGGTGCAATCACCCACAACCAACATATACATGGTCTACGGATTCTACAGCACCAGAAAGTAAACAGTTGGGCTGGGAGTCTGTGAACTGCTACAATCTGCAGTTGTACGGAACAGCTTTGTGCAACACCCTCCACCCCAGGTCCCTGATGGAAAGTGGGAGGACTCACATGTAGGCAGCCCCCAGCCCCCCATTGGGGAAATGAGAGTTTTCTTACACTATTTTCCATTTATCAGCCTCATTAATTATGCAAACAGGATGTTGGTCACATTGCTCACTGAGCTGCCTCGGTAACTGCGAAAGAAGTGCTCACTACTGCTGGGACCTTTTGGCTTCTACATGTTTTAATTCCAGCTGCACACCAGCTCAACTGTTGCAAGCCAGGAACGACTTCTCACCCTCCCTCTGAAATCACAGCACATGGCCCCTGCCAAATCTAATCAAGCTCCCTGCTTCATAGACAAAGATGTTGGAGCTGTTGTAGACAGAGTGATAGAGAGAAGGTCAGTCTTTTACCTGGCAGATTGCACACCCCAGTCAGCCTGCACAAAGATAGCAGCCTAGGTCAATGAAAATGGGTGCCTAACCGTGCATAAAAGATCAACGATCTTTTTGCGCTCTGCAAGAATAAGTGATACCATTTTGATATCCTCTACCTTACATTCAAAAAACATACTTTAAATCAGCCACTGCACACACATCTTACCAAATCTGATGAACCACAATTCATACTCTCATGTTTGTTCAAGGGTTCACATCAGTCTCATTCACTACAACTAGGATCCTCTGTGCTTTCTAGTCCTCACTGGGTACACCTCCCCATCTTGCCTGCTCGTGTATGACCATCTACATGCATCATACTCAATCCCTCCCTCTGATCTCCTTGCAGGTCCCTGACCATGCGGAGGACCCCAGGGCAGGCCTGAGAACAGGGGTTATTATTTCTGCCTCTGTGGTATGTATAAGGAGACAGTGGTGGACATGACTGGGGTAGACCAGGTCTGCTCGTGCACTGACAGCAAGACACCAATGGACAACAAATTTAGCAAGTTCCATTGTGTTGTGATGCTGTCCCATTGCCACCAGCACAAATTCATTCTTAAACTGCACAACCTTTTATCTATTCTCTCCATTCAATTCTATCTCTTCTCTTCATACAGGGAACATCTGCAAGGAAGACACCAGTGCTACAGGCCCACAGCTCCACTTCCACGTTGAAGAGGAAACCAGTGAACCCTCAGAGGATGCAGAAGTAAGGTTTTCACCTGCTCCCTCCACCAACTCAGAGACTCAGTTCAATGTGTAACATATCTCCATTAGACTCGAGCACAGTGCAGTGAGCACATCACTGCCATGTCTATAAGAATGAAACACGGGAGCACTCTGGCACACAGAGCCAGAGCCTCAGGCATGAGGCATGTGTCTGTTCATAAAGGAGCAGCACAGGGAATGCAGGCTGGTGTGCTAGAGGTGTGCAGTAAGCTGGAGTGAAGGATGGAGGAGTCCTGTAAGTATTTTCACGACTGAGGGCTCCAGCACATGAGCATCTCCATGGAAATGGTGACAACTCCCTCAGAGACACAATCCAGCAGAATGCTCAGTGCCTCCACATTTTCAGTTGAAGCTGCACTGTGTCAGTGAGTGCTCAGCATCAACAGTAAGGTACGAGGTACCTGAAGCTCACTTCTAGGTGCTCCTTTCTCTCAGAGAGAAGAGGTGGTGCTAGCAGGAACCCTCAGGGACAGGGAGTGACAGACACGCAACCAAGAAGATTTTTTTCAAGACAGTGAAGACATGCCTGGATCCTCCACATTTCCCCCATGCCCGGGATTCCCAAGCCTTAAGCAGTATAAGCTGAAAGGTGTGGGCCTACACTGACAGAGGAAATTCTCAGTGAGCCTAGAAACTGCAAACTGCACCAGGGAGTGACCTTACGGGTATTCCACACCAGCTGTTAATGTCAGGCTTGTATCAAGACAGTGAGAGGCAGAAAACATACAGAGGGCACATAGGCAATGCAGGTAAAATATTATTGTAAATAACAGTCACTTTACCTTTGCTCATGCATTTTCCCTTGAAGGTTATAATATCCGGATGCATTATTTTCCATAGAGGACCCGATCAAGTCACCTCTAACGCACATGAGAGATGAGAAGCCTCTTCTTACACATCAATGATTCAAGATGTTGCAATCGTTTCACAAGCAATTGGGTCTTTGACTAAGTGGTCTCAGGAAGGATCCTTCAACTCTAACTTTGAGATCTGTAACCACGGCATTACACCATCTTACTGTCGAGCACAGTGAAGCTAATGGCAATGCCTGCACACACCCTTCAACACTAACACCCACCTTATGGGTGAGAGGCTGCAATCAGTAATGATATCCCAGCAGCGAAAAGGTATTTCCATTGTATATGTACTTTTCATGGAACTGCAGCAATTTTCAAGACTGGGACATTCTGATAACATTTTACTTTAGTTGCATTACAACAGTAACTGATCTAAAATAAAGCTTTAAAAATCCTTTGGGCCATTCTCTGTAAATCTATTTGGTAATATTTTTATCATAAACCCAGACCACTGCATGAAAACATAACTTGAATGGAACAATCATCTTTGTAATGTTTTTCTGCCACTTCCCCCTTGCTCTGAAGGAGATATGTACTCGGATCCCTGGTGAGTGAATAGAACTTTGAGTATAGGATTTGGGAGGTCATGTTCCAACTGCACAGGACATTGGTTAGGCCATTTTTGGAATACTGCATTCAGTTCTGGTTTCCCTTCTATAGGAAAGATGTTGATAAACTTGAAAGGGTTCATAAAAGTTTTACAAGGATATTCCCAGAGTTGAAGGATTTAAGCTGTCGGGAAAAGCTGAATAGGCTGGGGCTATTTTCCCTGGAGGATTGGAGGCTGAGGGATGACCTTGTAGAGGTTTATAAAATCATGAGAGGCATGGATAGGGTGAATAGTCAAGGTCTTTTTCCCAGGGTAGGGGAGTCCAAAACTAGAAGGCATGGGCTTAAGGTGAGAAAGGAAAGATGTAAAAGGGACCTAAGCGCTAACTTTTTCACACAGAAGATGGTGCATGTATGGAATGAGCTGCTAGAGGAAGTGGTGGAGGCTGATACAATTATAACATTTAAAAGGCATCTGGATGGTGATGTGAATAGGAAGGGTTTAGAGGGATGTGGGCCAAATGCTGGCATGTGGGACTAGATTATTTTAGGATAACTGATTGGCATGGACGAGTTGGAGTGAAGGATCTGTTTCCGTAATGTACATCTCTAGACAAATAACACATTTGACAATGCAACTTGAATCTCTTGTTTGGCGTCATTTAAAGCAGGTTTCAAACCAGTTCCTACATTACGGAAGTGTTCATCACTTTAATACAACATCAGAACATAACTTTCTCATCAAAATATAACCTAGCATAAGGAAGGTGCAAAGCATTCCAATTTCAATTAAGATCTTTTGCATTGTAAAGAAAGCATATACTTTACATGAGTTTTCATTGTGCTATAAACATTTAATATAAGGTGTACGTCAATGTTTTCTGATCATAGGATAAAACTATATCTGATATTATACAAATTATTGTAAAACTACTGATTTGATTATGCATTTAATTTCTATTGGAATGTTTGTATCTAAAATTACATTTGATATTATTGTAATAAACATGCAGAATCAATCAATATAGTTATTGATTATGTAAAGAGCTGTTTGGGTTATAGTATCAATATGCTATTGTTTGCTTTTGAGGATCATCCTCCCAACTTTTCTCCAAGTTTTCTGATTAATTCAGCAAGATCTTCTGTGTTTTGTGATTTCTCCTCAAGGAGTTCATATCGGAGACTAGAAATATCTTGTTTGATTTCCTTGAGTTCACCTTGAAAATAACAAGAAGCAAACAAGTGAACAAACTATGTTGATAAAGAAGAAATTTTGCAACATAAATGATTTTGAATGGAAGCTTTAGAACTAAAATAATAAAAAGGCAAGATGATTACAATATTGAATAAAAAAAACCTCAGTTTAGATCTAAAATTCACAAAATCATGCCAGTTCTAAGGACAATATATTGATATCAGTTATTCAATAAACTAACTGTACTCTGGTAACATAAAATAATAGCTATCATAATAATACACAGGCTGCTTAACCACCCTTTTAGTCTAATCTTTTTTCTAACTTGTCCTTTGTACTCATATAAATATGAGATAATCGGGCACCTATTAAAATCCACCTCCCAAGAGTTAGTGATGTGAATATTGGGATTTGCACTTTCTGTAAATATTTAAATTAAAGGAGCTTCCTTCTCTCAAAATAGTTGATGCAAGTGTTTTGATTTCTATGGTTTTAGCACTTAAATTTACTTTGTTTAAAGTTTTGGACAAATGTTGTACTCATTAAAGTGAAGTATATTAGAGCTGGGGAAATTGGATATTTTTCTTTGCCAAATATTCGCATGATGTATTCACAGATCAGTTACAATACCAGGAACAAATTACTGTAGATGCTGGAATCTGAACTGAAAACAACAAATACTGGAGATCACAGCGGATCAGGCAACATCCATGGAGAGACAGCAAGCTAACGTTTCAAGTCTAGATGACACTTCATCAGAGCTGAATTAAAGTGTGGAGGGGGCAGCATTTATGCAATAGGTAGGGGTGTTTGCAGTGCTGGGGGAGAAAGGATGTTGATAGTTCAGATTAAGTGATCAGCATGTGAGAATGGCAGAACTATGGTGCATCTACCCGCTAGAATGGAAAGAGGAGACCATCACACTGGGGTTAGGGGAAGGAAGAGAGGGTGACAGAGAATGTAACAAGCAAAGCTAAAAGAAAGGGAAGGAATGAGTTCACATTTTGAAGATGTTGCACTCAATATTGAGCCCAGAAGTTTGTAAAGAAGGTTACAGTTAGACACACCATTGTTCTGCCATTCTTACGTTCCCATCACTTAATCTGAACTATCACATTCTTTCCCCCCCAGCACTCCAAACACCTCCTCCTCCACTATTGTATAAATGCTGCCCCTCCGCACTTCATGTAAGCTCTGATGAGAGGTTATCTAGGTGTGAAACGTTAGCTTGCTTTCTCTCCATGAATGCTGCCTGACCTGCTGTGATCTCCAGCACTTTTTTCTGTTTTCACTTCAGGTACAACAGTGTTAGGTACAGACAAAATTTCCCTTTACTCTTCCCTTTCAATGTTCCCATGTCTCAACCTCCAAAGAACACTTTTACCTGCACCATTTTGACACTTTTCTACTTCTCACACTAGCCATCCTTTTAATTTTCCTGACAGCAATTTTCTGTGGGAATTTCTACCCCTGAGTGTGAGAGTGAAAAGTTCAAGCCACACTCCAGACAGTTCCAGCAAATGGACTCTGCTGATCTTTAAATACTGGCTTGACATCCTGCAGGATATTTGGTTAGAATGACCACATTCTTGGGGACTGTGTTCCTGCTCTGAGTCAGGGCCCCAGACAACCAGCGAGTCAGGGACCAGACATCATCATGTTATGTTCCACTGTGGTTGGCTGTATGTGATGTGTGTGGGTGCTGTGTGCTACCACCCCTCCTCTTACCCTACTCCCAAACTCTATTAAATCACTGCATAAAGTGAATACGATTCTTTAGACGTTGTTGCACTTCATACAGGAGAAGGTACTACAAATATAAAGGTCAATGAGGAAACCAAACAGAATCTGCTTCAGATATCCCATTGAGAGACTCAGCGATGTCATATGGGCAATTTGAATTAGGACCTGTCCAGTGGGTGAATAATTTGTCTTTAAACATACTACTTTTTCCAACTTTGGCTAGGAAGTTTCTTCGAACTTCTCTCTCTCTACTGTTGTAACTTCATTTCATCTTGTAAAAACCCAGCTTCCAGAGGCAATCACAGTTTTTTTTTACTGCATTTCTAGTAAAGTTATGGAGCAAAGCAACAGCAGCTCTGAGGAAATTTTCACCCTTTGTCGTTTTTAGCAACATGCAAAAAAAATAAAAAGAAGTGACATTTTCATTTCAGCAAGCATAAATATTGCGTAGGAATAGCTTTGCTTTTAGTTGTGCTTGTTACATTCTCTGTCACCCTCTCTTCCTTCCCCTAACCCCAGTGGGATGGACTGTTCTTTCCAGTCTAGCAGGTAGGCACACCATAGTTCTGCCATTCTCACATTCTGATCACTTAATCTGAAAAAAATACCAAACTCTTGTAATTTAAGTTACCTCATGTTAGCAATAAATTGTTGCTTGAGCAATAATCTCTAAAAGTCACAGCTAAAAGCCTGCATTGATAAAGCTTTTTGTCACTTTTTGAGGGTAAGGCAGTTGATGTTGTCTACATGGGCTTTACTCAAGCATTTGACAAGGTCCCTCATCGTAGGCTCAACCAGAAGATTAAATTGAATGGAATCCATGGTAAGTTGGAAAGGTAGAATCAAAATTGGTTTAGCCATAGAACACAGAGGGTAGTTGTGGAAGGGTGTTTTTCCGACTAGAAGTCTTTGTCCAATAGTGTTGTGCAAGGATCAGTGCTTGAACCTCTCTTGTTTATTATACAGAGAAATGACTTGAATGAAATGCCAATGGTCTGATTAACAAGTTTGCAGATGACACAAAAATTTGGTGGAAACGTGGATAGTGATAAAGGCTATCAAAGAACACAGCAGGATATAAATCAGCTGGAAAGTTGGGCAGAGAAATGGCAGATGGAGTTTAATCCAGACAAGTGTGAGCTGATGGATTTTGGGAGGTCAAATGCAAGAGGAAAGTATACAGTAAATGGCCGGACCCTGAGAAGCATTGATATACAGGGTCCAAGTCCATAGCTCCCTGATAGTGGTAACACAAGTGGATATGGTCATAAATAAGGCATACAGCAAGCTTACATTCATTGGTTGGGGCATTGAATATACAAGTTGGCAAGTCATTTTGCAGCCATACAGAGCTATACATTTGGAATATTGTGTCCAGTTCTGGTCACCACACCATATGTGGAGGCTTTGGAGAGGGTGCAGAAGATGTTTACCAGGATGTTGCCTGGATTGGAGTATATTAGCCATAGGGAGAGGTCGGAAAAACTTACATTGTTTTCATTAGAGTGTCAGAGATTATATAATTATGTAAGGCATTGATAGGGTGGATTGTCAGAGTTTATTTACCAGCGTGGAAATGTTGAATGCTACGAGGCATAGGGTTAAAGTGAGAAGGGCAAGTTTAAAGGAGATGTGTGAGGAAAGTTTTTTACACAGAGGGTAGTAGGTGAATGAAATGCACTGTCAGGGGAGATGGTAGAAGCAGATATGATAGAAAACTTTAAGAGGCATTTAGACAGACACATGAATAGGCAGACAACAGAGGATATTGATCATGTGCAGGCAGATGGGATTAATTTAGAATGCCACCATGGTCAGCATGGTCAGAGGCCTGTTCTTATGCTGTACTGTTCTATGTTCTATGTTTTTTCTTGTGGATTAGAATCAATTTTGTATCTTTCCACTCCTGTGAAGATCCTTGAAATAGTTTACAACATTAAAGCTGCTATATAAATACAAGTTATTGCTGTGGAATAAAGAGAGATTTCTACATTTGGTAGATCTGACTGGGTAGTGATCAATAGTAAAATAATGAGAGTTTCCTTTTTAAATCTAAAGCTGGATAGAATGTTTATTCTATTTGAATAAATACACACTTTTGGAACATTTGGAACAGGAGTTTGGGTTTTGGCCAATATTGTGACCTCAACATTGGAGTCAAATGGAAATCACATTGTCACACTGTGGGAAACAATCACTCAGCAGGGATCTTCCCCAAATTGGCCAAGGGCTATGTCCACCATCCAGTTAAAAATGGGCCAATGGGTCAACTAAAAACTTCCAATTGGATACTATTAATTGGACCTACATAGTCACTTACCATGCAGTAGGTGATGGCCTGGTGGTAATATCACGACTATTAATTCAGAAATCCAAGTAATGTTCTGTGGACCCAGGTTCAAATCCCACCATGGCAATTCAGTAATAATCTGGAAATAAGATTCTAATGATGCCATGAAACCATTGTCAATTGTCAGGAAAAATCCCATCTGTTTCACTGGTGTCCTTTAGGGAAGGAAATCTGTCATCCCTACCTGGTCTGGAACATGTAACTCCAGACCCACAGCAATGTGGTTGATTCTTAATGCCCCTTTGGGCAATTGGGGATGGGCAATAAATGTGGCCTAGCCAGTAATGCCTAAACCCCATGAATGAATAAAAATTTACATCATTCATTTGCCCTTGCCCTTCTGCTGCTGATCACCCTTCTGGATGATGCCAGTGCAAACCTCCACACTCACCCACTCCTGGACCCATCAGATAAGGGCAATCAAATTCAGCTCTGGGTCACAGAAAAGGTTAGCCCACATTCTGTACAACTTCCAGAGACTTCGTTTGAATTAAGTTCAGGCTGATAAAACCAAGAATTTCTCTCTCTGTCTGTCTGTCTCGGTGCTAATCCTAAAAGTCATACTTAAAATTAATTGTGCAATGTCAACCACAGAAGCAGCATCCAAGAGCACAGAATCTCTCTACATACTGTTCTGATTCATCAGCCTTCCTCACCCAGGTCACTGATTTGGGAAATATAAAATTCCCATGTTCCCAGTAACTCTGTCATGTATGGGGCACGTTATCACAAAACAGTGAAAGCTTGACTCTGTGTTTTCATGTTGTACTTTGCCTGACGATGCTCAATGTTGGTACAATCTGTGGTAAAGAATTCCTTCTTTAGTTAATTGCAGTGTATAAGTACAAAAGAAATGTGAATTGACTTGTGAAAGTGATACGATTTACCCACATAAATCTTTGTCCTGCTCCCCCTTCACTCCATCATTTTGAATAAATTCAACTTGTCTCATTTCACCAGACAAAGGATGATATGTTTCAGCAATGTCCCATGAGTCAACCATAACAAGAGGTTTATAAGCAAAAGGTGGGGCATATTACTCAGAATAACAAATCATAACATTGCTTTCTTTAGCTAATCGATCATAGGATGTCATTATGCAACCAAATGCTCTGGGCCATGTCACAAAAAAACAGAAGTTGCTGGAAAAGCCCAGCTGGTCTGGCAGCATCTGTGAAGAAAAATCAGAGTTAACATTTCGGGTCCGGTGACCCTTCCTCAGAACTGTCTGGGTCATGTGTCCATTTGGAATTTTTCACTTGGTAATTGTTGAGCACAAACATTGAAGAATTATTGTGGCTGTTTAGGTGGGAAACTGTCATGTTTTGAACTGATTTTTTTTCAAAAAGTAGCAGTTTGCACTGAGAGGAGAGTGCCACTAAGATAACCAGAAATGTTTCATGTATATGTGTTATGAATAGATCAACCTTACTTCATGGCTTACCTTCATTGACTTCATCATTTTCCCTATCCATTTGGGCTTTCAGTACATATCTCTTAATGAGACGTTTCATTATTTTCTGTAGATAACAATTAAGGAGCATGTTACTGAACTATGAACAATGAATATGAAAAACTGATAGCATACAAAATATCAAAGAACTGTGGATGTTGGAAATCAGACACTGAAACAGAAATTTCTGGAGAAACTCAGCAGACCTGGCAGCATCTGTGAGAGAAAGAATCACTTTATTGGAACTCTAGTAACTAACTCTGCTTTCTCTCCGCAGCACAGCATCAAAACCTGGCAGCTAGTTCATTGCTGTAGCTAACTAACCAGCATTAGAATCCAAATATTGCATCAATGAGTTATGATATACATCAATGTTTCCTTCAGGAATCATAGAGTCATAGAGTGATACAGCATAGAAACAGGCCCTTCGGCTCACCATCTCTCTGCTAACCCATAAATACCAAACTACACTGATCCCATTTCCCTGCAGTCAGTTGATAGTCTACTGTGCTCTGGCATTTTAAATGCTCGTCCGTTTTAAGGGCTTCTTAAAAGTTATGAGAGAACCTGCCTCCACCAACCTCTCAGGCAGCACGTTCATATGAATGGTATTTATTTCAAGAGCTAAGCAAAAAAGGCTGTATAATTTCAACCGCAGCTCCAAGAAGAGTGAAAATCATCACGCCAACAACACAAGCCAATGACATTTTTAATTTAAGCAAATGGAACAAAAATCAGAGAGTGATTTTCACTAAGGTGCATGGGTAGAATTGGGAAATCTTTTGACTATGCAAAACCTTCTCAGTTTAAAGGGACCATTTGCATTGCTTTGCCACCTGACTGATTATACCTACCCTCCGAACTGGTAAAATTGGGTTCTGCTAGTCATGGGGCAGTTCATTTGGCACCAGACCATTCCCAAGGCGCTGTTCTGACTCTGTGGAATACCCTTCCTGGAGCAAGTACAGTTGCCACAGTAACTGTTGTTGTTCTTGCCCTTGTTGGGACCAATGGAGTCTGAGACTGATGTTTATTCTGTTCTCTGTGCTTTAGGAACATCATACCTTACTCATCAGCTGTGTGCAGTGAAAGAGCCCCTGTCTAGCTGTACCTATAGGTCTGTGTTTCTAATTATTTAATTAGGGTTCATACTCATCACAGACAGTCAGTGATAACTACACAGGTACCAAGTTGTCATGTAGGCTGACCTTAATTGAGAGCGTTGAATGTTTACACTCTGACTGGCTCTCCAATTCTTAATAAAAAAGAAAGAGCTACAAATGCTGTAAATCAGGGACATAAACAGAAGTTGCTGGAAAAGCTCAGCAGATCAGCAGGTGGAGGTTAGATAGACCTTAAGTTTAGGGTAAAAGTTCGGCACAACATCGTGGGCCAAAGGGCCTGCACTGTGCTGTACTGTTCTATGTTCTATGTTCTATTTCTGGCAGCATCTGTGGAGAGGCATCAGAGTTAACATTTCAGGTCCGGTGACCCTTCGTCAGATTGATGGTAGCTAGGAAGATGTCAGTTTATATGCAGAAGATAGGGTTGGGGGAGGGAGTAAGGAGTAAATGATTGGTGGGGATAGAGCTCAAGGAGAGAGAAGGACAGTTGGACAGACAAAGAAGTTGATAATGGTCTGGCTAGGAGGGTGAATAGCTGTTAATGGGGACTGTTAGTGACTAAAAATAGGTAGTATGTAATGGCAGGCTATGTGGTAACAGGGTAGGTGGGTGGGTCTGGGTGGGATTATCTTTGATGGTTGGTGTGGACTTGATGGGCTGAATGGCCTGCTTCCACACTGTAGGAATTCTATGATTATATATTGAGCCCTTCAGAATTTCTCCAGTCTGGCTTTTCTGTTCCTCATTGAGATCTGGGCTGCGATACAGCTTTTAGCACTCTTTTCCTAGCACTGATAACAGAATTGAAACTCTTATTTGTTCAGGCTTCTTCTTCCATCCTGTAGCTACTTCAGTTTTTCCACAGGCTAGAAGAAATTCCAATTTAGTATCACATTAGCTTATCCAGGGACTGGAAAATTCACAGCCATTCTGAGTCACCCAATAGTTCAATGTTGCAGGCTGCTGGCTTAATTCTTCCTTGTGGTTTCCCACAGTGGCTGGTTCGCTTACAGCTCCGAAAATCCCCATAACTTCAATTTCACAATTCAAACAATCGGGTTTCGAGTAATATTTTAATGGCTGCTACTTTTAAAGGGAAATCAAGTTCCAATCAAGGCCACATGATTATTGAAAGGCACAGTGTGTAAGAATATATCTCTCCAAGCACAGTATTTGCAGGCATAGGGCACGAATTTCAATGACCTGCGAAGGGATGTTCCCAGAGGCCCTTCATCATTTATAGATAACAAGGTATAGAGCTGGATGAACACAGCAGGCCAGGCAGCATCAGAGGAGCAGGAAAGTTGACATGTCAGGTCTGGACCCTTCCTCAGAAATGGATTTCTGAAGAAGGATCCAGACCTGAAACGTCAGCATTCCTGCTCCTTGGATGCTGCCTGGCCTGCTGTGTTCATCCAGTTCTACACCTTGTTATCTCAGACTCCAGCATTGGCAGTTCCTACTACCCCCTCATCATTTATACTTTGTATTTGCTAAAATCAATTCTGAGGGGCAGAAGTTGCCAAAACACAGTGGGCACTGTTGCTGCTTCAAGCCTAAAATAGCAGCTAAATTTCCTGCCCTCTTTATGGTGCTAGGCAGAGCTACAGATGGATCTGCAATGTATGGTCAATTAATCTGACCTTCCAAATGTGGGCACTCAGTGGTCTGGACAGGTTCAGATCCAGTGCTAGAGAGGCAATCAAGAAAACCCAGCCATCATTTTTGCTGTTAAAAAAGCTGTGTGTGCATTAGGCCAAACATAAACATTTTAAGACAGAACTTATGTAGTAGAAGCCAATTTAAGAGAACCATCGTTCCTGTATTGGGAGCTATGATCGGTTTTGCAAAGCTGCTTTCAGAAGGACATCTGCAACATAAAGGCAGTGTAAAATTAACTGGACCACTCAATCAATTTCTTTGAAGCAAATTCACACCAATAACCAATGAACACTCTAAAACCCAATGAAATAAGCCATTTTGTGGCATTTTCTCAAGATTTTCTTGTGTAACTGTAATAATAGGTGACAACTTATTAGACAAGATTCAGCTTCAAAATTAACAAAAGGGCAGACTAATGCTTGTTTAAAAATGCAATTTATCCGCCAGTAAACAGTAGGTTTAAAAAGGCTTTGAAGCTTACTCCATTATAATTTCACAACAGTTTGAAGATGGTTTCACAATCATTAAATTGAAAAGGATTCACAGTGTCTCTCATTTATTTTTCAATTCACACTTCAGAGTAAAGCCACTTCCACCTCATTGGACAAATATGCCACAGATCATATTAACCCACCATGCTCATTTTGCAAAGAAAGTTAGTCAGATTTCTCATGACAGAATGTCTTCAAATGGAATCAATTGTATCATGTCCAGAACCTGTGGTGTTCTGAATTTGTGGAACAGTTTTAACAACAGTACTGACTACACAGGAAAATCGTGCTTGGTTTTGAAAGTTGTGACTTACCCAGTGCTTATAGAAAGTTTTTTGTTAGCTGAGTACATGTCACACTGCACTACCAGCCCAGCAAGCAGTTAATATGCTTCCAGTTACAGATAACTCAAGGCTACTCTAGTGACAGAGTTATTTAATAAAATCTGTGCTCCAGAGGAGCATGGGAGAAACAACTCTTGGGGTATACCCTCCACACCACCCCCCACCCCCAAGAAGAAAGAAATGCTCATCCTTTATATTAGAAGATTAAGATTATGTTTATCTCAAATATTCATGCACTAAATATTGTGGCTTTTATCATTGCAGTGTCTACTCAAAGATGGCTCTCAAATCTTCCCATGTAGGGAGATTTCAACAGGAAGGAAGGTTTCGCGACCATCCTAAAGATTTGGTTTAAATAAAAAATCTTTCTGTTGGTTACCTAGCAAACAGCCTACAGTACTGGAAATAGTACACCCAAAGGTTTGGGGAAGAGAGGGGAGAAATGTTAAAGGAGGGGTAAAGGGAGATATCACATGGTTGGTAGAATGCAGTCAGAGGTTGATGACGAGTGAGATTGAAGAGAAATAATGTATTCAAGAGGTGGCTAGATATAGCATTTGGGGCGAATGGGATCAAGGTTATGGGGAGAAAGCAGGATTAGGCTACTGAGTTGGATGATCAGCCATGATCGTGATGAATGGCGGAGCAGGCTCCAAGGGCCAAATGGCTTCCTCATGCTCCAATTTTCTACGTTTCTATGTAGAGTGTGGATGGGGGTTTTAGAGTTTAAGGAGGTTTATTGGAGGGAACATTAGAGGTCTGAAATCATGGAAGTAGTCAGCTGGACAGTTTGGAAGGGGATAGTATAGTCTATTGGGCCGAGAGAAACTTTTCTGCTCCTCCTGCTTCACAAACAGCACTGTATATGCACAACAGCTTTCCCAAGACTCTTCATAAATACTCAAAGATGAAGGATGTGCAAAGCAATGAGACAATAGCAGAAGCATAGAACTAATCGAAAAATTCTTGGCAAACAAAGGCCAGAACAGGCACAATGGGCCAGGTGATATCACTCTTTGATTCTATGATTACAATAAGCATTACTCTTTAAAATAAACTAATTGTCTGTAAAGCACTTTGAGGTGCCTTGTGAGTGCAAATTTTTTCTATCATTTCCTTTAGATTGTCTGAGGTAATTCCTCTTGCGGTAGATTTCCATTGGGTTGCAAATAAATCACCTTGATAAATAAAGGCTTTTATAAAAACATGCTATGAATCAAATGTAAGGAAAATGCTGTATTACTATTTAATTTGCAAATAGCTTTAATGAATATAGAACTTTGATACTGTCAATTAAAGATGATACCATCTGCATCAGTTGTTTGGAGAATCACCACAGAACTGTAAATGACTTTTTCCTGTAAATGACACCATTTATCCAAGATGTAAATAATTCCCATCCTCAGGATTTCCTGCACCTGGAATTTCTGGATTTAAATATATCTATTGGTAATTGTAAGAATTGCAGCATTCGCAAGTGCATCATCACTTCCTCGAACTGACCTACCTGGTATCTTGTTGGTGGATTCCTGATGCTTTGTAAACTCTGATCTTCTGTACTTCGGATACTCGAATGTTTGGTGTACCTGAGCTGGAGTTAAAAAGTAAAAACTGCTTGAAAATGGCAGAGTATATTTTCATTATTTCAGTTTGCTAGACAGATTTATCAGGCCCTGGAATATCCATTATGTGGTAACTCAAAACATAAACATGCCATCCTAACCTTTCCTAAAATAAACTGTGATGGTCCCAATGTGGAGAAATTGTCACTTATTCTGTATCCAAAACTTAGATTAATGCATGCTATTTCAAGAACTAAACCACAGTCTATTGAGTCTGGACCAGACATAAGCCTGTATTCATACATTGATCATAGAACTCACTTTTCTCAGGCATTCTTTCTGTTATGTCTTTAATTTTTTCCAGGCATGTGGACAGTACTGATAAGGCAATGTTTATTATCTGCATCCAGTTGCTTTCAAATGTTGGTGTAAGTCATTCACTTTGAAAGGTAACAGTCATTGTGATAATGGTTCACCTCCAATTATGTTAGATAGAGATACTGATCCTGCGATTTCAAAAGAATACTGATAGGTCTGAGCTATGAAGCTGTATGAATGGGAAAGGGATTAGCTAATGATGGTGTTCTTATGACTCCTCTAGTCTTTCTCAGTGGACAAGGTCAGAAATCACATGACACCAGGTTATAGTCCAACATGTTTATTTGAATACACAAGCTTTCGGAGCTCAGCTCCTTCCTCAAGTGTAGTGTGAGAGAGTGGCTATAACACACAGAATTTATAAACAGAAAGGTATCAAACCTAAAACTGGCCACCTCTTGTTGAATCTTTAATCAGTTAGGAAGGAGACTACTGATTAAATTGCAAAATAGTCAGAATATCCCATAAAACCTGGAAAATTGCAGATTTCATCCCAACATATTTCGCCTCTATTTCATAAGACCTCCTGCATCCCAATCTATCTCCAGAGGGTGAGAGAAATCCAGGCCTTTGGTCTTTGCAAGGTCTCTGTAGTGGTCACAGATAGACATACCTGTGACAGAAAGGCCGGTGAGAATAAAGTCAAGCAGTTTGTTTTCTCACGCTGGCTCCTTCTCCACCTGGCACCATCTTTCTACAGTGAAAGCAATCAGATTTCCTCAGCACACAATCAAATTCACAATGAGACATTCTGGTTGAGAAATCTGTTAATGAGTTCTCCAATACTGCCGAACTTCACCAGTCAATGTGGAGAATAGCTCCACCCACACTAGAACTGGGCTTATTTTATAAACTTGGCCCAGAAATGGAGAACAGAACAGTCATTTGCAGGACAACAGACTATTGTGGTCAGATCACTGTTTGCTGGGTGTCACACAAACTTACTAATGGACCAAAAGCTGCCAGATTCAGACTGAAAAGTGAAAAATCAACCTCAAGTTACCCTGGAAAGGTAATGTATCTCAAAAAAACGTAAAGACAGATTAAGCAAATCCTTTACTACTGCTACTATTCAAAGGTTATGTGAGTGGTAACAGTTATTGCCACGAGTGCAGAAAGATGTTCTGCTTAGACACAATTGAACAACATCATGTATAAATTGAAATGAAACCTGATGTCAGGTACACAGTGACCGACTGAATGAATTAAACAGCATGTTCCTTTGGTTGTTTGTAATAGGCAGATTACAAATTGTACTCAACCAGCCCTGCTCACAAAACCCAAAATAAAACATTTCCATTAGATGGAATTCTGTGATTGGCTCAACAATCCCAACTGCACTAATAGCTTCACCAACAACCAACAGAACCAAATCAGTTTGTAACAATAACAGAAATGGCTGGAGAAACTCAGCAGGCCTGGCAGCATCTGTAGAGCGAGAAAACAGTTAATATTTCAGGTCCAGTGACCCTTCTTCAGAACATATCAAGTTCAATTAATTCTGCTTTCTCCCCACAGATGCTGCCAGACTTGTCAAATTTCTGTTTTTGTTTCAGATTTCCAGCATGTACAGTTCTGTGTGCTATTTTTGAGCTTGTAACAATATTGATTTACACCTGCTGGAACCAACGTATATTTTTACACAAGGACCCAATCTCTGCAACCAAAAGGAACAAGTTCAAGCCTTGTACTGTTTTTGAATTACCAAGGAGCATGGGAACCTTTTGTTCCCATGCCTTTCTCCATGAAATTGCCTTGGCCAATCAGAGTTGGCTTTCTAATGAATCAGCACCCTTTATTCCTGTAGAATAAAATACTGAAAGCATTTCAAATGTAGAGTTCTTGCATTTGTCCTGATGAACGCAAAATGAAAAGATTCACACAGATGTCTCTCTTTTCAACTTGTTCAATTTCTGAACTATAATGAGACTGCTCACATTCACACATTTAATCTTAAAATATTATTTTTGGCTGTTTCTGTTTTGTGTTATGTTCGATATTTGGAACAGTTGCATATTTATATGTGTTTATTGTTTGAGGCATGTACACTGTTTGACAGATCTTTCACTTCACTTTGATTATGTACATCATTTCCAAAAATGCTACACCATAAAATAATCATTGGGTGCATTCATTGTTAAACCTTTACCTTTTCCATTTCTGCATTTTCTTGATATTGTACTTTCCTGCATCTCAAAAGGCCAGTCAGCATTTTTTTCAATCTCAGTAGGAGATAGAATAAGGACTTTGGGCTTGGCACCAAGTTAAATGGCACTGCCAATGTTCGCCCTTCTTCAAAATGGGAAATCCACAGTTTGGCTCTTGCAAACTTCCATTCCACATCAGCATCATTCTACAGAACCAGGAATAGAGGAAGTTAATGATAGAATAAAGCACTGGCTCCTAACTGTGTAACCTATGGGTATGTCTCTCTTCAGCATATAACTACAGAGATGTGACATCAAAAAGTTTGCACTGAGCCATTGACATTCTTGCATAGTTACTAGTTTACATAAATGGACTTTATTTTTGCTAGTAGGTCATTTCCTATGTTCAAAGGCAATAATAATTACAATCTACTGTAACATCCACGTTTACCATGTCTGAATTTCAATAGAAGATATATAAAAACAATATATAACATTGCTCTTCATTATGGTCTTTTCACAGTATTAGTTAATCTTCTAGAGTAGCTCATGCCATATCCTTGGGCCCCCTATCTTGGAGTACCTTGAATACCTTCCTTCTGACCTTTGGGTTCAGCTCTGATCCTGCACTGGAATAAAAAACGACTCTAAATCTCCACTAGTCACACTTTCTAGCAATTAGCCCCTAGCCTTGAGTGTTAGGATATTTCAAGTGCTCATCCTTGTACTTGTTAAAGGTTGTGAGATTTTTTTCCCTCAACTATTGGTCCAGGCAGTGCATTCCAGGTCCTCACTACACTCTGGGTGAAAAATCTTTTCCTCAAATCCCCTTGAAGCCTCCTGCCTTTCACTTTTAAAACCATGCCCCCCTTGTTATTGACCCTTCAACCAAGGGGAACAGTTTCTTTCTATTCACCCTGTCCATGCCCCTCATAATCTTACACATCTCGATCAGGTCCCATTCACCCACCCCCAAGCTTCTCTACTTCAAAGAAAACAACCCAAGCTAATCCAGCCTCTCTTCATCGCTGAAATGTTCCATTCTAGGCAACATCCTGGTGAATCTCCTCCGCACCCCCTCCAGTACAATCACATCCTTCCTATAGTGTGGTGAGCAGAGCTGCATACAGTACTCCAGCTGTGGCCTGACCAAAGTTTTGTACAGCTCCAACATAACCTCCCTGCTCTTGTAAACTATGCCATGACTGATAAAGGCATGTGTCCTGTATGCCTTCCTAATCACCCCTATATCCTGTCCTGCCACCTCCAGGGATCTGTGAACAAGCTCCCCACGATCTCTCTGTCCTTCTGAGCTTCCTAGTGTCCTGTCATTCATTGAGTACTCCCCTTTTCTAGTTATAGGTGACATAAATGATAACAGAACTGGGAGCCTAAGAAAGGGAGAGATTAGGACAGAGAATTAAAATGGCTAGCGTACAGAAGGAGGCCATTCAGCCAATTGTGTCAATGCAAGAGGCTGAAATTTATTTGTCCCCATCTTGTTTAGTTCCTAAGATAGATTTTGTTTGTTGAATCTTACCAAATATTGAATGAAGAGTCAATTTGAAGGAGTTACAAGGAGTTCCTACATATTCTCTTCTGCAATTGTCTGCTGCTGGTCTCATTATGTCTGCACCATGACTCTGGCATCATGTTTGCACTATCGTGATCTCCTCAGGCAAAAAGCACTTACTATTGTTGGCATCTTCCTGGATTTCCAACAACTGTAATTTATTTAAAATCCAGTTGTGCTCCTGGTCAATTGCTGCCAAAGAGCCCCTTACAGGATACATGATGACAAGGAGAGCTAAAAGAACAGCTTTTAAGGGCACACAAGTGGCAGGAGTGACACTTCATTGGGAATAGAAACTCATATTCGTACATGTTTTGCTACTCTTATCGTCATCTGCCTGACGGACTGTCGTTGTAACTTCAGGTACAATAATCAGGCTTCTCATCCTTAGCTTCAGACCAGTTTAGAAATCTGTCCAATAGAGGTCTCTTCACTAACAACCTTCACAGTGTAACATCTTGATATTGATCAATGCATGAACATTTCAAGTTGGAATGCCTTCAAACGGTAGGAAATGTTAACTCTTGAGCAACAGGAAAATCAAAGGGAAAACAAACATTAAAAAAAAGGCTGCATTTGCTTCTGGGAACAAACAAGGGCTGCTGGCCTTTTGATCACTGACAATTTCATATTCAATGGTCACTTCACCCAACTCACATCTATTGGAATTGGAGGATAATTAAGTTCTGTTCAGCTTGTACACTGCACTGCTATATAATGCTGAAGCTGATGTTCTTTCTGCTTCATATCTTTATCTTCTTCCCCTGAAGACAGCTGTCCTCTCCAGTTCTTCAATATCCATCATATCCCCTCTTTGCCTGCCCCAGTTATCCTGAGCACAACTTGCAAAGATTACACAGAAAATTGTCCAGGGAAAACTACAAGCAGCCAAACTGATCCAAGTACCAGAACCTCACCTTCAGGAGACCTAGTGCCTGCTCCAGAAAGGCTTGGTGAAAGAATGGGCTGTATCATACTGATACTCAGCCTCAGTCAGGGGGTTTGCATAACTGAGTCATTAGCCACAGTCACAAAGTGTAGCCGTTATCACCCAGAAATATTCTTGTAAGACATCCGGTCCCTGTAAAGAAGCAGGAATCTGAGCCTTCTCAAGAATACAGCCTCACGGCAGTTCCTTTTAGCTGGTGGAGAATTCTAAGTTGTGACAGTACTGATTACAGATGACGTGTACATTGACAGGTTGAAATCTTTTCTGTTGATAAAGTCAGCCCTGTTATGATAGGGCACTCTCAATGCAATGTATAGTCTATAGCACCCTGCTCCTGGGAGAAGCCAGATACTGTCCTAAGCTCATAAGGCCATAAGATATAGGAGGAGAATTAAGCCATTCAGCCCATCAAGTATGTTGTATTGGTGGTGGAACAGACTATTTTTAGGGCACCTTTTCTAGCCCCTTCTCTGTGGGGTTGAGCAAAGCAAATCCTGAAGAGGGTTGCTCAGTTGTGAAGAAAGCTGCTGAACTGCTCACCTGTTCATATTTCAATAGGGAAACAACTGAGTGAAACTCCATTGCTTATGTGCTAGTCTGAAGCTAGGGATCTCCAGGTCTCACAATCCTGTCCCTGTTACCTCTCACCCATTACTGCATGAGTTGGGAGGATTGAATTCCTCTCGGTATGTGCCTTGTGCAGGATATCTTTAACATGGGAATACTGTGCACATTAGCAGACACCGCCTTTGAAAGAAGATAGATCCAGTTCCAGTGAAAAGGAAAGCTCGATGACTGGGGACCTCCAGACTGCTGCAGACTTTATCTACCATCACAGGCACTGATATCACTCTCTGCATCAACAGAACACACAGTGCTCTCCACCACAGCCAGGTGACAATCCACAGAAAGGAGCAAATGGATAATGTCGATATCAAGCTGTGACAAAGGGTCACCTTTCATGGGAGGTTTAATGGCACAGATAATAAGCAAGTCTGACGCTTGATGGAGTGATTCCAAATTGTTCATTTCTAGATTATGAAACAAAACCTCCAAGATTTGGATCATTATGTCAGGAAAGAAACATGGGAATTGTCACCAAGCTTCATAGAACCCCTACAGTGTGGAAACAGGCCATTCAGCCCAACAAGTCCACACCAACCCTCAGAGCATCCCATCCAGACCCATTCCCCTTTAACCCACACAATCCCTGAACACTCCACCTAGCCTGCACATCTTTGGACTGTGGGAGGAAACCCACGCAGACACTGGGAGAATGTGCAAACTCCACATAGACAGTCACCCGAGGGTAGAATCGAACCCAGGTTCCTGGTGCTGTGAGGCAGCAGAGCTAACCACTGAACCACTGTGCTGCCCAAGCTGTTGGAAAAATGGCATAGAGAGGAAGGTTCCTGGAAAACTGGGATCACTTCAGTATCCCAAGAAGGTTGTACTGTAAGAACTATGTCTTTCTATTTTTTTGTTACTAAAACTATAGACTACAAGAAGAAAGATTTGTTTTTAAAAACAGGGATTTAACAGGATGGCTGCATAATTTCTCAGAAAGGAATTTGATACCTATTGTGAGTTCTGCCTTTATGACTATGGATTCCTGTAACATGCAGACAATCAGGAGCTGAGTTTACAAGCAAAACCAAATGGCTCTTAGATAACTGAGCAGATAGGAACTGGAGACAAATTACAGAGACACAAGGAGAGAGAGGGATGCATAGAGAGACAGAGACACAGCAACAGAGAGAGACAGACAGACAGGGAGGGTGACAGAGAGAGAAAGACAGACACAATGACAGAGACAAACAGACACAGGCAGAGAGAGAGTGAAGGAGGGGTGAGAGAGAGACAAGAACAAAGAGAGAGTGTAAGAAAGACAAAGTGCGTGCTTTGTTCTCTCCAGCAGAAGGTGCCTGTTCTCAGAGACATTTTCCAAGTGACAGTCACTCTGTACTTCTTACAAGCCAGCAAAAGCTTCTAGAGAAACAAACTAAGGTCTGGGTGAGCTGAAGTAGGGTCATCTCAACATCAGCATCAGGAAGCAAAGGCCCACTGAACTGAATCAGTTTTTTCTGCCTCCACGAATAGTCCACTGTCTGTCTGTCTGTGGACATGTAAAGGGAGAAGTTATAAAGGGATTAGAGTTTTAGATAATACATGCAGTTACCCAAGAGCAAACTGATTATTTTCTGGAGTCTGTTCACAAGTTGGAACACAATACAGGACAATGGAAAGCAGCTGTTTGTAAGTACAGAAAATTAATATTTCATCATCAGCTTTTCTGATGAAGGGTCTAGGCCCGAAACGTCAGCCTCTCTGCTCCTATGATGCTGCTTGGCCTGCTGTGTTCATCCAGCCCTGCACCTTGTTGTCTCGGATTCTCCAGCATCTGCAGTTCCTACTATCTCAGAAAATTAATATGTTGGGTCTTTAAAATTATAACCATTCACAAGTTGGACATTTGTAAATTGGGGAACCCCTGTCGTGTTATATGTCATTAGTTTACTTGCAGTTATAGTCTAATTACTTATAATGATTTTTAATGCTTGTTTAGTACAGAAACCTGAATTGTCCTTTCTATCGACCTTGTCAGGTAAATTGGGATAAGTCCCATTTACAATGGGGGTGGGTTGTCACTGTGAAATCAACTGTCTCCATCTAAGCCAGAAAGGTACCTGCTTAGAAAGGATAAACTGCCAGGTGCTCCAGTTTCCTCCCACAGTCCAAAGATGTGCAGATTAGCTGGATTGGTCATGCTAAACTACCCACAGAGTCCAGGAATGTGAAGGTTAGGTGTGTTAGCCGTGGGAAATGCACAGTTACAGGGAGAGGGTAGGGGGGTGGTTCTGGCTGGGATGCTCTTCAGAGGGTGGGTGTAGACTTGTTGGGCTGAATGGCCCGTTTCCACACTGTAGGGATTCTATGGAAATAGAGCAGTTTGGAAAGATTTAAATTAGTTCAGGAAGTGTTCAGGGTTGAGAAGGAGATGTGGGAATCCACACAGGAAGCCATAAAATGATAGAAAAACACCAAATGGATATGTAGACAGTTACCAAGAATAAAGTTAGGTGTACATAGTATAAGAAATACAGCAAGGGAGTTAGAAGCACAAATTCAGCTTCAAGAATTTGTTGCCATTAAAGGAACCCAATCTGTTTGGAACGTAACTGAAAACTAAATATTCTTCGCCATAAGATCTTTAATAAGGACAAATTTTGAAAGGAGGAGAAAAGCCAATATTATCAATAAACAGAATCTAGGTTCACTCATCAAACAGTGGAAACAAACAGTGAGTGTTAATGTAGGACAAGTGATATAAGGCTGTGATTGAAGTTTTATATCTGCCGAGCAGCAATATTGTAGTGAGGGGATATGTTCATGCAGGGTGAGAAATACAAGCAGCAAAAACTATTGGCTGCAATAGGACAGTTTAATTTTCACATAGACTGGGTCAAGGAAAATAGCTCATGGATAAAGACAATGAGTGTCTGGAATATTTTAGAACTGCTTTCTAAGGCAAGCTATTTTAGAAGCAATAAGGCCATAAAATTAGTTAAGTCAGATGTCAAAAAATTTCTCTGCAAACAGAAATTATTATAAATTTGGATTTAACATTTGACTTGAGAAAGAAATGACAGTCACAAACCAAAATTTAAAACTTTAGTGAGGGAAATTTTGTAAGTGTGAGAATACATTAAATGTATAAAAATAAGTAGGTAGACCAGCAGCAATATTGCAAAGCGTTATGATTGCATGCACTACAGAAAGCACTTCTACCATCACACTTATAATATCAAAGGAGGTCATTCAGACCATTAAAACTGTTCCAGTGTTAAGCCATTAAATTTGTTTTTGATTGGTGGTCAACACAAACATGATAAATTCCCATATTACACCTTAAAGTCCACATTAATTCATAATTTCAGAACTAGTATTTTTCATACCTCACAGCATTGTGTAATAATGACCTGTTTTAATCACAAGTATTAAAGCTAGAGCTATTAAAAAGAAATTAGAATTTCACCTCAATCTCCTGAAAAGAGCTATTAATCATCGCAATCAGCATATTTAAGAGGACAATGACCATTGTCACATGGTATACGCCATACAAAACATAGCCAATGTTCTCAATAAATTTGTGACTATAATTGATGACCACAGACTTGACTTCTGATAATCCAAATATCGCCCAAAACAAAGTTTTAAAGCTTTCTTCAACACTGAAAAACAGAAAGAAATATAAAAAAGTGAAACTATTTCGCATTTCAATACCTTTCTGAAAACTTAAATTTAATAAAATCTACAATAGTGCGGGTACAATATAATTTACAAAAGCAAAATTTTGGGCTTAGTAAAAATCTGAAGTAAGAACAGAAAATGCTTAATATAGATAACTCAGGCAGCATCTGCAGGGAGAGAGAAACAGAGTCAATGTTTAATTTTGACAACAATTTGCCAAACAGTGAAGAGTTTCAACAAGTTTTAAGAATCATAAAATCCCTACAGTGTGGAAGCAGGCCATTCAGCCCATCAAGTCCACACTGACCCTCTGAATAGCATCCATCCCAGACCCATCCCTGTAACTCTGCATTTCCCAGGGCTAATCTACTAGCCTGCACATCCCTGGACACTATGGGCAATTTACTAGAGCCAATCCACCTAACCTGCACACCTTTGGACTGTGGAAGGAAACTGGGCCTCTCAGAGAAAACCCATGCAGAGAATGTACAAGCTCCACACAGAAAGTCACCCAAGGCTGGAATTGAACTCAGGTCCATGGTGCTGTGAGGCAACAGTGCTAACCACTGAGCCACCATGCCACCCCTAGGACAACATGGAAGGTGAAAGAGATTAAATAATAAAATTGATAATGGTGCAACGCAAAAGGATATGGCAATGGGGAAAGTGAAGAAACAAAAGGTGAGTTGAGAGAAGACATAAATACACTGGAAGAATTAAAGTGTGAACATAATGAGAGTGACTTGATCTGAAATTGTTGAGCTCAATGTGGAGTTTGGAAGTCTGTAAAGTGCCTAACCTAAAAATGAACTGCTGTTCCTGAACAAAGAGGTGCAGAGCTGGATGAACACAGCAGGCCAAGCAGCATCATAGGAGCAGAAAGGCTGACGTTTCGGGCCTAGACCCTTCATCAGAAATGGGGGAGGGGAAGGGGGTTCTGAAATAAATAGGG